CCCCCCCCCCCCCCCCCCAAAAAAAAATAAATAAATAAACATTTTTAAGAACAGTTGATTAAATTAACAAAACATGAAACTGCTCAATTTTTTTTTAACTTGCAAAAATAAGTGCCATAAGATACCATCAGCACCAATATTAAAGACAAAATATATATTAACCAAATATAAATTAACTGTATTAACCAATCAGAGAAACAAAAAAAATAAAGAGAGACAGAGTTAAAAAAAACTCTGTAGCGTTTAGCAGCCACCAGGAGGTTTGCAGTAAGGGACTGAGTCTGAGAGGAACACTGGAAGGAGTGGCAGCTCAGCTGCTACACTGGACCAGACAATGGGCATCTTCCTCTTTTCTTTCTCCCCCCCCTCTGCTGCCCCTTCCCTCAGCTGAAGGATCATTTATGACGTGGTGGCATCCCACACATTCAATCAGCATTTGCTCCCCTCACTTCAACCATTGTCTGCCCCTCTCTTCCTCTTGTTACCTCTATGACTCACCATCCTCCTAGACTTGGTTCGCCTCCTGCCAGGGTGCGGAGTCCAGGCTGTGGCTCTCAGTGAGGATAGGTGGCCTCCCAGCACTACACAGCTTCCCTCTCATACACATCGAGCCTGATCATCCTACTCACATAGGGTTAACCCTGCAACCAGAGCACACCCCCTCCTATTGATTGGCTCCGGCTGTGTAGAAGGTGGAGCCAGTGCTGGACATGCCCCATTCAGTCACTAGGCAGCTCCCTGGAGGATCGTGTGTGACAGTGTGTGTACCGGAGAGGTACACACCAATCCTGTACATTGGGACACGCCTCCAAATCATTGGATTCAGGTGTTCGAATCACCTCCATGGCCACAGTTGTATAAAATCAAGCACCTAGCCATGCAGACTTCTTCTATAAACATTTGTGAAAGAATGGCTCGCTCTCAGGAGCTCAGTGAAATCAAGCGTGGTCCCGTGATAGGTTGCCACCTGTGCAATAAGTCCATTCGTGACATTTCCTTGCTGTAAATATTCCATATTATTACTGTTCATTATTCCATAAATATTACTGTTAGTGATATTGTATTAAAGTGGAAGCAAATGAGAACAACAGTAACTCAGCCACAAAGTGGTAGGCCACGTAAAATGACAGAGCAGGGTCAGCGCAAGCTGAAGCGCACAGTGCGCATTAGTCCCCAACTGTCTGCAGAGTCAATAGTTAAAGACCTCCAAACTTTGTGTGGCCTTCAGATTAGCACAACAGTGTGTAGAGAGCTTCATAGAATGGGTTTCCATGGCTAAGTAGTTGCATCCAAGCCTTACATCACCAAGTGCAATGCAAAGCGTCAAATGCCGTGGTGTAAAGCACGCCACCACTGGACTCTAGAGCAGTGGAGACGTGTTCTCTGGAGTGACGAATCGCGCTTCTCTGTATGGAAATCTAATGGACATGTCTGGGTTTGGCAGTTGCCAGGAGAACAGTACTTGCCTGACTGCATTGTGCCAAGTGTAATGGTTGGTGGTAGGGGGAATTTATGTATGTGTGTATAAATAATATATATATATATATATATATATATATATATATATATATATGTACTAAATGGTCATGTGTGTGGACAGACTGTGAGACAATTGTGCAGAATAAAGATACTATAATTCCGTCATCATTCCCTGTGTATGAGGAGAGAGGGACTCTGCAGAGAAATGAAGAATTCATACAAGAGGTCCATAGACCACACAGAGAGAGTGTGCCAGCCTGTGCACCCTAGGTGGCTGCCTAGTTTGCCTAGGGATAGCACCAGCCCTGCTGCTATGGACCTGTTTATTCCTGTCATTACTTAGGATATATTGTTTGTTAAAATGTTACTAAACTCACAACAGTAAAATCAGTCTGTATATGCAGTAAAGCATGTTCGTTATACTCACTGTGGAACCTAAGGGGTTAATCCTCTGCATTATGAAAAAAGGTCATTTGATCCTGACTTCTCTGATCCTCCTCTTGTTCAAATGTCCACGTCTTATCTCCTAATAAGACAGACTGAACCATAGCCATTCTGCACATGATCAGTTTGGTGTGTATTGCTAGAGAGGTTGTTGCACATTTTATTCTGTAATTTGTCCTGTTTAAAATGACACAAAAATTATGATTATGAAGCATTGAAAAGTTATTTGCAAATTAAATAAATTTTGTTCTTTAAATGTTGTGCTTTATTTAAATGTGAAACATGTAAATACATGTCAGTGGTGTAACAATATTACCAAACAAAGCAAACCAAAAAAAAAAAGTTTTAATTATTAATAGTTTATAAAATAGAAATGTAAAAAAAATCAGCCGGACAATAATAATTAAATGGAGCAGGAGAGTAAGGAGGTAATTAGGGCTGATTAGAGTAAATGAAGGGTTAATAAGGGGTTAAATAGAGGAACATTTAATAACTTTAGATTGTACACCTCTTGAAGGTTAGGGACTGATGTGACAATATATATACAGCGCTGAGCAAATCCTTTGGCGCTATATAAACTCGATGTAATAATAATAATAATAATATATGTTAAGCGCTGCGTAAATTGACGGCGCTATATAAGTATCTGTAATAAATAAATAAAAATAAATTTAATTATAAAAAAAAGTGACAGTGTGCCTTTAACTGACTTTTGCAGATTAAAGTTCATCCCTTTGCTTTGATCTGTAGATGAATAAACAGAAACATACAAAATGAAACAATGCTTCTTTTTATCTTTCTGTTTTTGACTAAGCAAAGTTGTTGATAAACATTGTCAGGCTGCTGTTGATTTTCCAGTTCCAGTTGCCTGGACTTGTTTACACTTTAGCTGTCAGCATGGGAACCCCACTGACAGCTGAATGAGTCATTGGTTGTTAGGATGCAACAGCCCCGCTCCTTAACATCCGGTAAATGCCTTTTTTTTTTACAGTTCAGCTGTCAGCGGTGCAATCCCCTGACAGCTGAAAGGACGAAACTTGAAGGTACCAGTTACGGGTATCAGAGCATTTGCACAAGTACTAATACTCGTGCAAGTACTTAGTATCGGCTCCGGTACCGCTATCAGTATCGGTGCAACCCTACTTTTACTCTGCATTAAATTACCGAATCATGGCAGGAAAGTAGAGTGCGTACTTTGACTGCAAGTAGAGGAGCTATTGATTTTGGTTGACCTGCTCCTTTTAATACTCTTTTTCAATCACTTGGATGGTGTAATCTCCCTCACTGACTGACACCTGTGCTCACTGTTAGTTTTTTGACCAGTGGTCGGTTAACCCCCGTTCTCACTGATGCAACTTGTCATGCAATTTAAAAGCAGAAAGTCCAAGTGCTAAAAGCCCAGATAGTTGAAAGCCACTTGTCCTCGGCTGCTAGTGCCACACTGAATGAAGTGATGAAGACGTGATAAAGCGCATGCATATGAAATGCGTTGTCGTGGCAACAAGCATAGCTTTTCATCCAGCCTGGTACGGTGGCTGATTTACTCTTCCTCCCGGGACCTGTGACGTCAGTTCCGGAGTGCCACGGTCCCTGGTCGGGACAGCTGCACGATTGTTATCACCCTGTTTCACCATTCATCCCGGTACACGGGCTCAGGTGAGTGGATATTCCATCAAAGCCAGGTACTGGATCCACCACTGTCTTTGGAGGATTTCTTTGCTTTTAATTATTTACTTACAGAATAAATCTACACCCCTTTTGAAGTACTTTGCAAGGTCATTATTGACTATAAGCCTAAGTTTCCTAAGCACTGGTCTTTTTGGAATCAGTTGTCATGCAATTTGACTATTCAAATCGCATGCAATGATCGGCAATGGAACTGTTATAATCCTCGTCAGAGTCGCACCAATTAGAAAAGTAGTTCCTGCACTACTTTTCCCAATTTGGGGTGTGACTTGCATAGACGTCTGTGTATGAAATCACACAGATGTCTATGAGGTTGCACCCAAAGTCACACTGCCATCCGACTTTGAAATCGTGCAACTTCAAGTGAAGTCACACAATTTCAAAGTCGGATCCAGTGTGAACCAAGGCTATAGTTCCTGATTGTGTTTATTATCATCACAGGCTGGAGGTTTGTTTACAAACAAACATCTCCAGCCTGTAGAAGGCCACCCTACAGTATGTGTAGTTGCACAAAGGCAGAAGCACATTCATAGAAAAAATAATTACAGCTTTAAAACATAGTTTTAAAAAAAATAAAACTGACATTCCATTTTTAAGATAGGATAGGATGCTTTATTTATCAGTGTGCTAAAACACAGCAAAATATTAGTCTGATGGTACTGTGCACTGAACAGCAGCATACAATCATAATAAAGAATTCAAATAAAAACACTGTATTCTAAAACCAACAATCAGTACATCTCTTCACAGTTCTCCATAGATAACAAGTTTTTGGTTTTTTTTTTTCATTTAGCCAGCAGGTTGAACAAAATAAAAGCAAGCAGATTTCTCCATCCACGCGAATCAGGTGAATGCAGGAATCAGCCCCACTGATACATTGTATTCTCACAGCTGGACTCGGTGTTGTCAGAACATACTGATCAGCAGCTGCAGACAACAAAGTTGTTAATTTAATAGAATTCAATATGGCCACCCACTGATTTGAAATTTAGCTGGTCCCTGCTAATCAAGCCGCCTTTCAATCCATGTATGGCTATTACATTAAAAGTCCCACTTAAAGTTAACCTTTTATCCATTTGTCAGTTTATAATAAAAACATGAACATTGTATTTCCTAAAACAGTGTACTGAATAAAAGCTTTCTATGTCCTTAGACATTAATGTCAAAATTATTCAGGTAGGCAAATTTGGAATACTGAAGCTACTAAATGTGGCCTGGACATCTAAGCTTTAATAACCTTTAGCCATTAAAGGAGTAAGGAAATTGGAATTATGTTTAGCACTACTATAACTGTATTTAAAGTCAGTTACAATAACATTCTAAAATTATGTCCACAGGAAAACAGGACTTCTGGTCATTGCCCCATCTGGCAATGAAGAGTTTGAATTGATATGCAAAAATATGGAGCAAAACAAATATCCTGGGAAAAGTTCACCAAGGAACAGCTAATGGCTAAATATCCTGAATTTATTCTGAATCCCGGAGAGGTTGCTTGTTGCGACAATAATGGCGGAGTGCTGTGCGCAGACAAGGCCCTGAGAGCTGTACAGGTACTATGTCCTTCCCCAATTGTGCAGAAATATCAATTAGTTACTTGAAATAGCTCTGCATGTATAGATAATTATACCCATTTTTACAGTTTCATAAACAAAGCTTTTCATGTTTCCATTTGGGTACAAGCTTGGAAGTTTCTGATAATTAGATTAGATAATGATTAAAATGTATTTACTCACTAGAAAAAAAAAATCTAATTTCTGTGTAGACATGTCTTCATTCTACAGAGAGCCTGCATCCAAAGTGTGAAATTGCTTTGTTCATAAATAGTTCTTTGTTTTTACGGTGGAAGAAACACCATAACTCTTTAGGGGCTGCAGGAAACAGTGTGCTTCTTCAGCCAGCAAAAATATGGAGCTGTTTAAGCATGTTTACATTTTAATTGGTTTATATCCAAGCCTCCATGCAAATAATAGGTGATGCTCAACACAATTTCACTGAAGTATACACTACCAATTATCAGTAATTTAATCAAAGTGGAGCTTCACCCATTTTTATCTTTCAGATACGTAAGTAAGAAACTCTCTGTTGTACTGTCGCCTGCATCCCTATTACAGAGATTTTTCCTTATTTCTTGTACTGGTGGCAAGTGGTACAAAAATATGACAGAAGCCCTAACCCAGCTGGTGCCACCCCAACTGTTGCCAGAGTTCCCTCCATCCAAGTTTCAGGTGCAGGTTTTGACTTTCTCATGTTGGAAACCTGCACAGGGCTCAGTAAACAATTCCCAGCTCTTATGTGACAGCTTTTAACCAATTGGTCACCAAATTTTGGAAAGTCAGAGGGAAAAAGTAAGTCTTTAAAAGACTCACATTGTCTCTTAAAAAATACCTTGGGGGTGTTTACTCTCCAATGTGTAGTCATTTTATCGGTGTTTCTACTGTCCTGGTGCTCCAGGGCCTCCAAAAATGTGATAGGTAGTCAGGAAATTAGATGTGTAATTTATGCCCGATAGAAAGCCTGGTAGTGCCCCTCAGATTTTGGGTCCCTCTGTGTGGCTAGGCTCTCCAACACCAAGATAAGCAAATACCAGGCATTTTTTAGGAATACTAATGCCACCAAAGTGATGTTATTAAAATAATCAAATAAACCATACCAATTTATATATGAATAGTAAATGCAGAGTAACAAAGTCATGTATACCTATTCATGAATACTTACTATGGTTGTTCAGGACTAAAAGTATAACGTAGCAAATGAGGCTGTTAGTTTTAATTTTGTTTTAGACAAGTTACGGCTCTAAAAAAAAATGGGAATACATAGGTGCCTTTATTGATTAATTACTCAATGAATGGTTGTCCACATTAGATTACATCTTTACTGCTTCCATGACAGAACTTAAATATGCTCTGTCTTTAACATAGGATGTCCTAAATGTTAAAGTGATTCCAAAGGCAAAAGGTTTTTTAGTCAATGCATTCTTTGCATTAAGGTGAAAAAAAAATCAATTCCCCCAAGCACTCCATTAAACACTTACCTGACTCCATTCTCGATTCAGCACTGTGCCTGTCTGTTGCAGCTTTTCTCTCCTCTTCCTGGGCACACTACAGGCTCTGATAGTAGTGGGAGCAATTGGCAACTGCTGCTGTCAGTCAAAACTAGTGAGGAGAGAGCAGGTAAGTACAATCTTGCTTCTTATTTTAGGAAAAAAACCTGTTGACAAGTACTTTAAGTCCTTCTAATACTGATATTTTTATAATATGTAGTACTAAAATATCTTTCTATCTCAGTAGATCACAATCACCAAGCCACAGATTCTGCATTCTCCTTTTATTGTATGAGTATAAACTTTTTCTTAATTGTTGGGGCATGGATGATTTTTGAAGAATTTACTGGGCCCTAGTCTAACTGAGGTTGAGAACCACTGGTATAGAAGCCATATAAAAACAAAAATAATAACAAAACATAAAGTTAATCTTCATACACCTATTTTTTAATTTAAGACATCAGGACAGAAAAATGTACATTGCATGCAAACACTGTGATCACACCTACACTGGTAATCATGGATTTAAGTTGGATTGACTAACAATGTCACATTTATGCCTGCAATAGACACTCACCAGCCAACCTTTTTTTGGAAACTTTGTATTCCAGTGTTTCTCTTTTGTTTTTTCACAGGAGCAATTTCAGCGAATGGGTGGGGTGATCCAAGATGCGCAAAAGGTAAAGCATATTCAGCCTGGGCAAGTGGTTAGAGTGACAACTACCTCTGAGATCTATGAAGCTAAAAATATAGTGATTACAGCAGGGCCATGGGCCCAGAAGGTCCTGTCTCCCCTTGGACTTGAGCTACCATTAAAGGTAAGAATTGCTTATAGGACAATAATTGGCAGTGGTTAATAACTATTTGTAAATGCAGATGAGGAACCGCATCCAGTTCTCATGACATGTGAAATAACATTGCTTCCTATGGTGCCTGTTCACATATGTACGGTGCACGACCAGTGCGGATTCAGTGTGGATTGAAAAAGTGTCCTGTCCAATTTCTGAGCAATGCGGTCCAATTCAGGTGCAGATTACAGACTATTGACTTCTATTTGAACCGTTTCTAAACTGCACATGTGTGAACAGGATAAAATTCTGACCTGATCCTGTCCTGAACCTGATGTAAACCTGACCTGAACTCCTGTACAACTTCTGTGTTAGTTAGCTGTGAAACTTGAGCTTCAATCCGCAATGCACATGTGTGAATCAGCTCTAAAAGAAATTACTGAAAACAATCAACAGTCACTAGTGTCAAATCCCGAGGAAAACAACATATGATCCAAAGGACCTTCAAACTCTGTTATTGAGATCTGTTACCTTAGCTTCCTAGAGCCGAAAGCCTGCGATAGTCAGGCAATATGCTGAAAAGATACCAGTGGGTGTCATAATGCTGGCGGGCAATTTTATAAGCCAGTGAATAATCAACGTATCCATTATTCACTCCTTCAGTGCTCTTTATTTCAATCGCTGCACTTACTACATTCACTACTTATAATAGATTGATCACCCAAGATTTTTGTTTGTATTGGCCTGCATTGCTACTGCTGGAAATTTGCAGGGGAAAATGGGGCAGAATGGTTAATGAATGCAGGTATAATGTATACATAACTGTCACTATAGTTAAACTATTAATACATTAATGAAATGTTCTCCCGAAGCCAGCAGGCAGTGGAATTTTGTCCTTCCTTTCTATTTAATATACTAGATGATTCTTTGAAAGAGAAATGCAGTTAAAAGATTTCTGGAATTGTCATCCTCCCTAGGGCGATATATATCATTGCAATGTTAGAATCTCCTCCACTAACAAACAGCTCATATTTCTCGCCAAGTCCTTTTTCAGCAGCCCTGAATTTCTTTCTAACTAACCATACAGAACCCAAGTGGTGTGTGCCTGTCAATTTCCATCTACCTTTAGGGATTACTTTTCCCTTTCTATGAACATTCTTGATATAAAAACAACAGGGTCATTTATCTAAAGCTGTGCTGGATGACGCTTTAGCAACCAGTAAAATACTGTGGACATGCTGCAGTTAGAAAGTTTTGCTGTGACAGTTGATTTCATACAGTGCAATATGGTCCTATCACACTATAAAAGCTGTTCTTCCACTTTTCCACTAGCCATTGTCATTATGTCATGCATTCATCCTCTCCCCTGGTAAATAACCTGCCTTATAACAATTTAATGTCTTTTGTCTTTTGCAAACCAATATATTGGACACATACTAATGGGTATATACGGTGTAGGACAGTGAATGCAGACTATGGCACATGAATCCAACACAACAAACACTTTACTCCTGCGCTAGGAAAGGACTCAGTAGACCCAATAGGAATGTTCTGGAATTTTCTGGAATATGCACTGCTTGCTGCCCTCAACAGACCGGGGTGGTCCAAATACACTGGATACAAATGGAGAAACAGAAAAAGGGCGCATCGACCTAGTGCATTATCGTTTAAAATAATTTATTAAAGAAACAAAAATAGGCATCATACTCACAATGGACATAATAACACAGGCATGTCAAACTGAACAAGACATATGATCCAAACAACATCTGAGTCCATACGATGGAACCCTGGATGACCAACTGGCTAACATGTTTCGAGGACATAACCTCTTCCTCAGAGCCAATGTTGGCTCTGAGGAAGAGGTTATGTCCTCGAAATGCGTTAGCCAGTTGGTCATCCAGGGTTCCATCGTATGGACTCAGATGTTGTTTGGATCATATGTCTTGTTGTGTCGGTGCGCCCTTTTTCTGTTTCTCCATTTGTATCTATGGCACATGAATGTATGAGCTAAGGGGATTAGACAGATGAAAGATTACATCTGATTAATAAATATAGATTGCTGCACAAAAGTGATCCTTGCACAAGGGGGCACATGATTGAACTCCATCATAGTAATGCCCTTCTTCCGACCCATATACAGTATATTTTGCAATGGATCCCTTTTCTGCGCACACTATGGCATGATTGGAATTGGTGTGAGGTTATATAAGGGGATGGAGTTTCCAAATCATCAGGAAAGGAGCATATGCGTGGGAACAGTTTAAGTATAAACTATTATCAATGCCAGGACAAGGTCTTTTGCATCCAAAGCAAAGATGCCAAATATACAGTGGCTAAGCCAGCACAAGGTGCCAAAATGACAGCTGCTGTCCACAGACCCTAAGGCTACAGCTGAACGGGATGGAACTGGGGGTCCTGTGACGTAGTTAAACCAGTGGTGTTTAGCCGCAACAGGCATGGTTAAAAAGAATCAGAATTTCATTAACACTATGATTAACAAAATATTTGCTTCCATCTTAGAACTAAGGTAGCCCATAGCTCATCAACAGATCAAACTTTATCTTATGATTTTTCCTTTTTATAAAGAACAAAAGTTATATTTCTGGTACAAAAAATGTTTTATAGTACCACAAAAACTAAGTGTACTGTAAACAAAATGTTTAAGAGTAAGGAGATGAAGAAGTTAACAAATGATTTATTGATAACCAAGAGTTAATAACTGATAAATTTCATTTTTTTTTTACTTTTTCTTCCTTTTAAATACAACGTACACATAACACTCATTTTATGACTTATGAATTAGAGGTAAGTCTCAGCTCCACTGATTACACTGGTAGAGCTATTTTGACAGCCTGGTCCTGTAAAGTACAAGAGATGGCCCAAGAGATGAAGAGGCAAAAAAGGCTCTGGCCCCAGTTTAGCCTCCTCCAAGGGTTGTTTGTTTCTAAAACTGCTTCAGGGCTATTTTATGTGGATGTACTGTACATTATATAAATGTGACAAGATATCTCAAAATATTCTAGACTGTAATTCAGATATTTGAGTGTTATTTTCTGTATCTTATCATGCTTTTCTTAAAGCCCAAGTGAGGCGCATACCCTTGTTGCTTTTTTAGAGACGCTTTTTTTTTTGCTTGATGTTTTTTACCATGGAATTCCATGAAATACTTTTTTCTTCTTTAAATGAAAATGCTGTCCCTGCTCTCACACTCCAGAACTCTGTGTTTGTATAAATGAGGGACTACAGCCTCCAACACAATTATCCTCACATAGTGGCTGGGGACAGTGAGGGAAAGTGTTTGTTAGATTATGTAGTGTACTGGGTAGCATGGTACTCTAGTAATTGCATCATGCTTTTTGCTGGGTTGTGTTGCTTTCCTCTGGATCAACTGTGGGTATAGAATTATAAATTTTTTTTTTAATGGTTGAACTGGATGGACTTTTGTCTTTTTTCAGCCAGACTAACTATGTAACTACCTATTGGATTGCACAGTCATTAAGACACACATCACAACTACTATAAGAAAAAAGTAGAGGTAAGGCTAATGAAAATTGAGGCTGTTAGTAAATCTTCTATCTAACTGACTTCAATTGGATTTTAAATATGATCTTGTTAAACATATGTAAGACAAGGTAAAATGATACATTTTATTTCACTTTTTGGCAATTAAAAAAAATATATATAGTATTTTACTAACTTGTCTTTGTGGCCCTGTTAAGCTGTTAAGCATCCTGAAAATTCTAGGTTCACATCTGTGCAGGTTTGAATGGGCTGCTGTGCCTGCGTTTCCTACAAAAAAGGTGCTTGCATCTTTTTCAAAACACAGCCATGGGGAAATCACATGGTGCTTTTGCACCATGCGATTTCTCTGCGATTTCCACACCTGCAAACATGTTGCCGGTTGAGATGTGTGGGGGTGCCATTAAGAATGAATGGCAGCTTCATGCTTCTTTAAGAGCAGCGCAGTTTGGCTGCTGGTGGTTTTGGGTGCGGGAACAGCTGCGATTCCAGCACCTCCAACCAGCCGCTTAAGTGTGATTGTAGCTTTATTAGCATAGCACAGCAGTCTGCACCAGCTTCTATTTTAGCACATACATATCCAGTAAACATTAACCTAGCTGGCTTTCTTCAATATTGAATTGACATAACAAATTGTTTTACTCTTTGTGAGCTTCCAGCATATATGTGAAGGACGTGCCCTGCTGGCATCTGTGTTTGCTGTGACTAGCGAGTCTGACTAGTAATACTTGCTAACCGTTGACCTTTGGTAACTATCAGTTTCAAGCTCCAACACTCCAGCAAATACGCCTCTTCACAAGAGATAATAAAAAAAGTCGGAGTTCAATAATGAATTGTGAAATTATTGTTGACCTCTTAATTGTAAAGCAGAATCTTCAAACTCTGGTTTGGAAGTTTTCATAGAATGCTTCTGAATGTATTTGTGCTACATAATGCATTTTGTCTTCTAGTCCATAGCAAATCTCTGTTCTTTGCAAAGACGTGTCAATGGGATACAAATGGAATGGGTCTTTTGGGTAAATAGGAGAGAGTTTAGTAAATTCAATGTAAAATCTGGACAAATGAGCTTTTGGATCATGTGTATTTTACAGTGTCGCTGAGCTCCATTGTGGCAACATTAGAGTACTGTACCACGTTAATCATCAAATACTGCAGAAAGTGTGCAGTTTAACCACATCCCCACCACCCTATAGGAGATAAACGTGATTTTGCATTTCCGGTGATTACCTGCCGGCACCTAGTGATTATCAAGGATCTTTGACGGGGAGGAGGGCTGCTTTGTTTACTAACAGCCCTCCTGCCTGTCGGCCCGGGCACACTGCTCTGGATGGCTGTGCACAGCACATCCATCCAGAGCAGTGTCCTTACAGTGAAGCACCAACACACCACCCCCCCAGTAAAACACTCCCAGCACACAGTTAACCCTTTGATCGCCCCTCATGTTAACCCCTTCCTGCCCAGTGCCATTAGTACAGTGTCAGTGCTTTTTTTTAGCACTGATCACTGTA